GTGACTTGCCTAAGGTCAACCAAGGGAGAGATGAGAACATACGGGAGAGGTAACTTAGGGTAGCACCCTTAATGTCAGAGAGTCATATTTGCCCATGAGAAAGGATAGTGTTATATTTTATTTTCATTCGGGCACACCCACTTTCTTCTGTGTCCATCTCTCTATGTAGACAATTAGCACACTATGGGGGAATCAATAATTTCCCTAGGTTTATTCAAGGTTGGTTCAATACCCAATGGTTTGGTTATTGAGGAAACTTTTGGGGGGCAGAATAGATTTTCAAATTCTTGGAACCATGACGATAGAAATCCCTAATTTCTAAATTTTACAGATCACTTGGTTTCAAAAAGTTGTTGGAGTTTGAAAACATGTTACTATCATACAAATAAGCACTGTGTTCTAGTTGTTATCCAGTGTACATATGAACAATTCAGATACTGCTATTTATAATAAAAGCATAATATGCTAATTAGACCAGATGTTCTTCTGGATGAAACTGGGACTGCGAGGGGAGCCTGGGTCCCAGGGATCCAGAGGGAAGCTGGTGCCAGCAGCTGAGGGAAGGAAGGCCTACTCTTGCACAAAATTCGTGCACCAGGCCTCTAGTATATTTATACTAGAATTGCACAATTAAGCAAATATTAATAGATGTCAGAGTGTGGGAGATAGCTTTCTTACTGTTTGAGTGGGAGGTTATAAATAAGCAAAGGGAAAAGGCTAGGATGATACATTTGGTGATGGACTGGTATTGGCAACATCAGTATGAACTCACGTTTAGCTTAATAAAGTTATGGAAGATTACCTATAGAAATATTTGTAGATATGTGTATATATACATGAGTTAGTGTACATACATATATTTTTTTGTTCTGTCAACTGAGATGGCCTAGAAGCAACAATACCCCAGTAGCCATAACCATACTTAATCCTAGATCTTGGTTTCCAATACAATTATCCATTAAAAAGAATCAGGGCTCCTGAAAGAAATGGTTGATTTTAAGAGTGGACCAAAAATATATAAGATGAGCCTGGAGCATCTTGTAGTGCCAGCAAATAAATATATGCTAAAAAAAAAAAAATGACAGGGGTATGTCAAAAGGACTTGGGAGCCAACCCAAAAGAGCATCCAATGGCCAAAGCTGGAACAGTTTGAGCATACAAAATAAAATTGCATTGGATTATAACCCCAAGAATAAAGTAAATGTGAGTCCATACTGATACAAGTAAATTATTACATAAATTAAATCAGGGAGAAGAGTCAAATCTCCCATGCAGAATTTTTTATAGATATTCACACTCTAGGATGCGGTGCACAACTCTCCACTCCTTAAGTGCGGGCTGCATAGTGACTTCCCTCTAAAGAGTACAGTATGGAATGTGGGGGAGAAAGTACAAAGGAGGAAGCTGACAAACACAATGTCAGCTCGGTAGTCCAAGTCAACATCAAAGATTAAGTCATGTTCATTTGATGTGATAAAAAGAGCTCTATGGTCTTCCTCCTTTTAACCTCAGTTTAATATGAGAAAAAGATCAGACAAATCTCAATTGAGGAACATATTATTCAAAAGTGTCAAGGGGAAAAAAATATGAAAAAGTGCCACATTCAAGAAAAGCCCAAGAAGATATGACCACTAAATGTGACAACAACAACAACAAAAAAGGATATTAGGTAAAAATTTAGGAAATTTGAATAAAGTTTGGACTTTAGTTAATAAAACATCATCATTACTTCCTTAATTATAACAAATGTGCCATACTAATGAAAGATGTTAATAATAGGAAAAACTAGGTTGTAGGGTATAGAGAAACTGTAGAATCTTCACAATTTTTCTGTAAGTCTGCAACTGTCCTAAAATAAACAATTCATTTAAAAAGAAGTTACCCTCACAAATCTTTCTGTCTTAGCCAAAATTCTTTCCACCTAATCTAACCAACCAATTCACATTCTTCAGTTTTTCCTGAATTTTCAAATTCTAATCATCAATAGTTATGTTCAACTGACAATGATCTACAAATGGAGGAACTCCACTGCAACAAATCCCAGGATATTGTCCAATCCCAGCAAACAAGGTTACCTAAGAGCTACAGTTCCTGCCCAGCCAGTGTTGCCCAGTGCACTGAGCATTGTCCCACGCACCAAGAGGTCAAGGTTCAAGTCCCAGTCAGTGCACATGCCTGGGTTGCAGGCTCGATCCTCAGTAGGGGATTTGCAGAAGGCAGCTGATTGGTTTCTATCTTTCTCTCTCTCTTTTCCTCCCTCTCTAAAAATAAATAAAAACGTTAAAAAAAAAAGCGAGCTACCGTTCCTTTTCATCTTGCTGTCTACCTAACAGAATCCTATGTGCTTTTGGTGCAGTACTCTATTGTACTATATTTGAATCCCTGTATGTTATGATACTCAATAAATTTTGACACATCTCTTAAAGCGTATATAATGATTGGAATGATTTTATTATTATTTGGAGGGGACTATTAATAAAGCAGTAACAAAATCCCTCCTTACTTTGCAGGAAAAAAATGAATAAAGATTTAGGTGGCAAAGATAGCAATTTTAGGAGTTTTAATTTGATCATCATAGTTAGTACAATAGTATGTTTGATAGCCTTTATTTATTAACAGGTTATATACTCCAATGCAAAAGATCCTGAGGTCTGGGGAGTGTTTTGAACTCTGGGAAAGGGAGTTTCAGGATCCAAACTCTGGAGAAAATGGGTCCTTGAAATCTACTGTGAAACACTGTATCAACTACTCAGTTATAAGCTTAAGCCAATATAATATATATGATGGTAAGTCACTTTTAACCATCTTAGAGCTACATAAAAGTTCCCTTTCAGTCTATAGTGTGGAACTTAGACACCAAAAGTCAGAGGAAAGTCTGTTTTAAAATAACCATGAGAAGTGTAAAAATCCACGTGTCGTTTTGAATAACACAGGCAGGCCTTGAATTCATAAAGGTTTATGATCTGGACATTGCATGTTTAAATGAGGTAAATCAATTCTGAGATATTACAGAAAGTGTCAGAAGAGAAATATCGTGTACCTGATGTTATATGTCCATGACCACAGGCACACTTTACTTATTATATAATCAGCTGAGTGTTCTAGTTTTCTGAAGCATAACATATAAAATTGGACCAATACTGCAACCAATCATGTAAATTTTTCTCTAATCTGATTTAATAATGTGACCCCTGGGAGAATGAGTGTGCAGGTCCATAAGGCCTCAAGGAACATCTGTGGAAAGGATCTGACCCGTATTTGTCTCATCTGTAAAATATGAATGATAGATAGGACTAGTTGGCTAATGGGATCCCTCGTTGGTGCTAGAATTCTATGACTTATTCAGAATGGACAAACCTTGGGAGGTAGTAACCTAAAATATGTAAGCAGGGACTGGTTGAATATCTGCCAAGGAAGAGGGGTTCCATATGAACCTTTAGGAGAGAGGCTGAGTCCAAAATGAAGGGATACAAACTCCCCCTTCCCCCTCCAAAGAGAGGAAATATGACATGTGGAGGTAGATCTGAGGTCCAGAGCCTGGAACACAGGGTTTTATGTCTCAGAGACTATTATGAAATAGATTTGGTAACCAAATGTCTATATTATGCAATATGCTGTAATGGCTGAAAGAAATGCCATAGATGCTCATAGCAGTTGCAGAGCATCCAATTGCTTTCGGAAATTATCTCAATTTTCACTAGAAGCCTCCTATTCCAATTGAAACACAGGAATGCATGGTAATAATGCCAAGGAATGAACAAATCTTTTTCTTACAACCCCTCACCTTTCTATGACATGGCCCCAGTGTATGATTTCTCATCATGCATTATACTCATAATAGTTGCTTTATGTAAACAAAAGAATAAACAGTACAGTACAGCCCCTCGAGACACTGTCTCAACAGGCTGCCATTTGAATGAGGTTTGTGATTACAGCACTTTTAGCGTCATATCCAAGTGACAGTCCCTATTTTTTTTTATTCTGCTTCTTCCTGTCACAGTACAACATGATCTCCTGAAACACTTTTCATCCTACCAGCATGTCAACGTGTGCTTCAAATATTTGTCCTAACTCCGTGGTTGGCAAACCGCGGCTCGCAAGCCACATGCGGCTCTTTGGCCCCTTGAATGTGGCTCTTGCACAAAATACCACGGCCTGGGCAAGTCTATGTTGAAGGAGTGGCATTAGAAGAAGTTTAAGTTTTAAAAATTTGGCTTTCCAAAGAAATGTCAATTGTACTGTTGATATTTGGCTCTGTTGACTAATGAGTTTGCCAACCACTGTCCTAATATTTAACCCGAAAAAGAAGGTGATTGTGCTGTAAAATCCTTAATGTTGAAGGAGGAAGAGAAGGAAGGAGAAGGAGGTGGACAAGATCACTTCATTCCCTTCAATAGACTTAAGAAGCAGAAGTGCCCGCACTGTGTGAAAATCAAACTGTCAGGACAAATAGGATTGGATTTACAAAACCTCTGAGTTTTGCATGGGACTCAGTAAATTCACTGAGAATGTGTCCTATGCTCAGGATGCCAATCCATTCTACCAACAAGCTACACTGTTATGCCCTCTTCTGTCTAGGAACTTGAGGGGAAAAAAAAGTCATTTTAAAACACTACCAACCACTTTTAAGTACTGATTTTTTCAAAAATATGGATAAGAATTCTAGAACAAAAGGAGGGAAAAACAGGGGGGAAAAGCAGCATATGTTTGTTCACAGCCTTGAGTTGGATTCCTGTTTTGTTATTGTAGAAAAAGTGTCCCATCTGCGACCATGGGTGCCACACTTTTTATTCAACCTAGACGGAGATGTGAGGATGGAATATGAGGAGCCACCGTGGGAAATCAGCTATCTTTGCCTCCAGTCTCATCAACCTGGCTCAGTGAGCTACTCCGGTCCCATCCCAGAGGCAAGCTGAAGTCAAAGAGGAAAAGATGGTCATGACCTCAGCGCACACCCAGGAATGAGACCAGCGCAGCTCTTCTCGTGCGGACTGTGGAGCTCACATGGTGTCATGGCGCCTGCGGTGCAGGGACAGGTGGTCAGAGCGAGAAAAGCTCCGGTTGCAGTCTGTGCACCGGAAGGGCTTGATGCCTGTGTGCTTGCGGAAATGGCGAGTGAGCTCATCCGAGCGAGCAAATTTCCAGGAGCAGCCATCCCAGGTGCATTTATAAGGCTTCTCTCCTAAAAGGGAAAGATGAAGAAAACAAAACAAGGGGAGTCAGAGATGTTTGGGCACAGAAAAGATAACAGAGGCCGTAAGCTTTTAGCAAGGCTTTGGTCAAAAGGTGAGGCAATCACTTTGAAGATAGGCTCTTGTTCAATCTCACAGAAGTGCTCAGGAAAAGGCGGCAGGCGCTGGCTCCAACAGGCCTTTGCTTGAATCCTGGCTCTACTACATACCAGCTGTGTGACCTGAAATAAGTAACTTCTCTCTGGCTGGGTCTCTGTTAATCATCTCTAAAGGTGAAGAAAAAAAACACATCTCTTCTGAACACAGCTAGTAAATGAGAAACCTGGGATCCAAACTGAGGTCTTTGACACTCGACCCTGTACCACACTGTAGCAGCCAATCCTCCCCTCTAATACCTCCCAGCAAATAGTCAAAAGGAAGAGACATATACACAGAAAGAAAATGTGATCCACTAGAAGGAGCCCTCAGCTTAGCCTACAGGCCTTCTTCTGTGTCAGGTCAGAAATTAAAGTGCATGGAATGTGAGGAGGAGAAGATTAAGTCAAATTTTTAAAAATAGTTCATGCTCAGCATCTGCAGGGTGCTTCTGGGATATATATGGAATATGTATGCTCTGGATAAAAAGCTAAATGAAAAAAAGTAATAGAAAATACATTAACACAAGAGGATCCCATTAGGATGTGTAAATCACACAGTGCATGTTTAAGTACTCAGAACAAAGGTAATATCAATATACTTCAATGCAAATTATAAGATAAATTATTAACAGTAAGTGAATATCTGGAAAGTGAGGAGAAAAGCTGTGAGAAGGACTTTCTTTTTTTTTTTTTTACTTTTCACTTTTCTGTGTCAATTGAATATTTTAAAAATCATGATATCATATGTTATAATAACATTTTATTTTCTTTGTTTTATATCCATTTTAATCATAGTAAACATACAGTATTCATTTCAGATGTACAACATAGTAATGTGGTCATCTCACTAATTCTAAGAATCATAAAAGAGAGAAGAGACATTACAATGATGCCTCAGATATAAAAACTATTATAAGGGACAATTATGAACAATTGTATGCCCACAGACTACATAACTTAGAAGAAATGAATAAATTCCTAGAAATATACAACCTACCAAAACTGGCTCAAGCTCTAACCAATTTGGCTCAGTGGATAGAGCGTCGGCCTGCAGACTGAAAGGTCCCAGGTTCGATTCCAGTCAGGGGCATGTACCTTGGTTGTGGGCACATCCCCAGTAGGGGGTGTGCAGGAGGCAGCTGATCGATGTTTCTCTCTCATCGATGTTTCTAACTCTCTATCCCTTTCCCTTCCTCTCTGTAAAAAATCAATAAAATATATTTTTTAAAAACTGGCTCAAAAAAAAAAAATAGAAAGCCTAAACAGGCCATTAACAAATAAGGAGATTGAGTCAGTAATCAAAAATCTTTCAACAAAGCAGGCCAGTGTGGTTCAGTGGTTGAAAGTCGACCTATAAACCAGAAAGTCACAGTTCAATTCCTGGTCAGGGCATATGCTGGGATTGCTGGTCAACGCTCAACCACTGAGCCACTCTGGCTGGGCCCCCTTCCACTCTTGTAACCCAATGCTTCCACCACCAACCACTGCACTTAATATGCCCTGGCAATGCTGGGCTTCCGTCAGTTATTAGAACAAGACAAACTTACTCCCGTCTCTTAGCTTTTGTACTCTGCCTAGATAAGAGTAACACTTTCCTTAAACTTTTGGCATAGTTGGCTCCTTCTCATAATAACTATGTCATTTAATGTAGGAACCTTTTTTAAAATACTGATTTGAACAACCTTTTCAAAAGCATTTATTAGACAACTGGAGAAATTTGATATTAAGAAATTTTTACATTCCTTCCTTTGAGCACTTTAAATATCTCCTGCCACTCCCTTCAGCTTATTTTTAAATGTCCGTTGCCTTTTAAAGATATATTCTTAAGTATTTATGACAAAGATAATATGATGTCTGAAATCTGCTTCAAAGTAATAGTGTGGGATGGGGGAGTTGCAAGGGGTGTGGAGGAAACAAAATTGGCCACAATAATTGCTGAAGTTCTCTCTCTCTCTCTCTCTCTCTCTCTCTCTCTCTCTCTCTCTCTCTCTCTTCCCCTCCCCCCATCCCTTCCACTCTTTCTAAAAAAATCAATGGAAAAATATCCTCAGATGAAGATTAAAAAAAAAAAAAAAGGAAGACCTACAGGTGATCAATGGAGATGATGGCCATTCAGAAGACACCAGGCTTACTGTAGTCATAGGCTGGTTTTATAAAAGCTTAGAGTAGCCAAAACCGGTTTGGCTCAGTGGATAGAGCATCAGCCTGCAGACTGAAAGGTCCCAGGTTCGATTCCGGTCAAGTGCATGTACCTTGGTTGAGGGCACATCCCCAGTGGGGGGTGTGCAAGAGGCAGCTGATAGATGTTCTCTCTCATCTCATCGATGTTTCTAACTCTCTATCTGTCTCTCTCTTCCTTTTTGTAAAAAATCAATAAAATATATATATATTTTTAAAAAGCTTAGAGTAGGAACAAGGTATAAGAGTAAAAGCCATGAATGGAATCTGATCCATGAGTATAAATGGATCAATCTTTGAAGACTTTCTTCCCTTCCTATCTCTCAGAGGCTGTACGGTGTGTGTGTGTGTGTATGTGTGTGTGTGTGTGTGTGTGTGTGTGTTGGGTGTGGGGTGAAGGTGGCCAGACCTGTATGGATTCTGCGGTGGGCTTTCAGGTGAGAGCTTTTGGTGTATACTTTGCTACATCCTGCAAAGTCACATTGGTGAATCCGTCTTCTTTTCAAGTCAAGGGACTCTTCTCCCTGCATTTGGGCCATTGCTGCTGGTCTGAGCAAAAGAAAAATGAGAAATAGGGTCAATGAATGTTTTTAATGTGAAGTCTAAATAAATGGACATACATGCAGTAGGACCACTGCATACATGCAAATTAACCACTAGACCCTTAAAAGAAGAAGTAAGATAGTACAAGCAATTCCCTCAACTAGCCCTTTCTGCTCAGTACGTGCAGGTTCCAGGAGGTGGCAATGTTTCCTTGGGTGGTTTCTGCTCCCACACAGTGTGAGCATTTCGCAAGTCTCATATTTGTGTTTAAAGAAATATATTTTTCATACAACATGGTTGCTAAAATACAAGCCAACTACTTTGTTAGTCCCACACTGGATGACAAGGCTGCTTGAAACGTACAGAAAGAAACCCTATGCAGCTGTACCTTACAGGAAATTTGCTGATTTTTCCAGGGTAAAATTGATGATCTACAATTAGAACCTAACTCTGCCACAATATGCATTCCTGTGCACATGTACGCACACAAACTCATACCTTTGCTGGGAAAGGTTTCCCTATATTTTTTTGTCCCCAAATTCTTGCTATTGTGTCTAAGAATTTGTTCCATTTCTACCACAGATACACATATATACTTAGAAAGGATCTTGAAGTGAAGACAAAAGTACTCACTCTTGCTGCAGTCCCTGTAAGGCCAAGGATCCACTCTCATTTGCACTTTCCTCACTGTCACTTGGGACTTCCAGTGGAGACATAGACATGGGGTCAACTTTCACTAAAAGCAAAGAAAAGGAACAATATGGGCTACAAATATGTGTCTCTGTTATCATTTTCAGGATTCCCAGTTTGGCCCACAATGAGAAGGAGCAGAAAGAAAAATAAAGGAAAGCAAAAGATGGGAGAATTGTATTTGTGTAGAAGGAAGAAAAGAATATTTAAAGTATTTAGCATAGCGGGAAAGAGAAATTCCTTTGAGGGAAAGATAGTCACATTCTTCCTTTTCCCTATGTTGGAAGAAGCCCTCAAATATTTCTTATTATCAACTAGTGATCCCTCTTGCAATCCAGGACCACTGGTTCCTAATCACTCACCTGCCTGCCTGTCTGATCACCCCTAACTACTCTGCCTGCTGGCCTGCACACTCCCAACTGCTCCCCCCACTGCCGACCTGCTCGCCCCCAACTGCCCTCCCCCCTGCTACCAGCCTGCTCACCCCTAACTGGACCCCTCTGCCAGCCTGCTTGCCCCAACTGCCTTCCCCTCCTGGCCTGATCACCCCAACCGCCTCTGCCTTGGCCCCGCCACCATGGCTTTATCAGGAAGGATATCTGGAAGGTCTCCTGGAAGAACTCCTGGTCTAATTAGCATATTACCTTATTATTAGTATAGATTACTTGTGTTTCTGACACCAAACAAATTCAATCCTGTGGTCAGCAGTCTCCTAGATCTAGTAAAAGCTAGAAACTTAAGGATGCTAATAAAGTTGAATGAGGAAGGACCTGGCTAGTGCAATTGCCTTCATACCTTATTGTACATCATTCACTGAAATGTTTTAAACATAGCTCTGGTCAGGTGGCTCAGTTGTTTGGAGCATTGTCCTGTATACCAAAAGGTTACAGTTTCAATTCCCAGTCAGGGCACATACCTAGATTGTGGGTTCAATACTCGGTCCGGGTACGTACAGGAGGCAACAACCAATTGATGTCCAATTGATGTTTTTCTCTCACATTGTTTCTCTCTCTCTCTCTCTCTCTTTCTCTCTCTCTCTCTCTCTCTCTCTCTCAGGAGGCAACCAATTGATGTCCAATTGATGTTTTTCTCTCACATTGTTTCTCTCTCTCTCTCTCTCTCTCCAGGAGGCAACCAATTGATGTTTCTCTCTCATATTAATATTTCTCTCTCTCTCTCTCTCTCTCTCCCTCCCTCCCTCCCTCCCTCCCTCCCTCCCTTCCTCTCTCTTTTTCTCTCCCTCCCCTCTCTCTCCCCTCCTTCCTCTCTCTAAAATCAATAAACATATCCTCGGGTAAAGAAAAAGTTTTAAGTATGCATCTCAATATGTATGTGTTTGCATGTATGTTATAAATGTGCTAGTATATTAAAATTTTGTGTATATTATGAAAATAAACAAAAAAATAATATGTGAAGGGCGAGAAAATGCAAATAGAAATGCTGCTACTTTCTCCTTGTGCTCTAATTGCTTTGGGCACCTCTCTCACTTGAGGTGGAAGCCTACCATTTTGGAGACCACTGAGCTAACGGTCTTAGCTTAGCTTAAAACTACACGAAACATTTTTATTTTTATTTATTTATTTTTTAAATATATTTTATTGCTTTTTCACAGAGAGGAAGAGAGAGGGATAGAGAGCTAGAAACATCGATGAGAGAGAATCATCGATCAGCTGTCTCTTGCACGCCCCCTACCGGGGATGTGCCCACAACCAAGGTACATGCCCTCAACTGGAATCGAACCCGGGACCTTTCAGTCCGCAGGCCAACGCTCTATCCACTGAGCCAAACCGGTCCCAGCCTACATGAAACATTTTTAAAACATATTGTTTATTTAGACTGGCTCCAATGGACTGATGAATATTATGGTGGGAATTCAAAGCCCCTTCAAACCATCCCGAGGTGCTACCACTGTCTTGATCAGTAAATTCTAACACGGCAAATTTTATTTTTCATTTCATTTTTTCTTTGGTTCTCTCTCCCTGTACAAGAATTAATAACTATATTTTAATTAACCTCCTCAGGAGATCTCAAAAACAAGATTGTGAAGAATATTTACATCACCAAAGTTAACCTCTAGTCAATGATGACGTTTTTATTCAAAAGAATATTGCAGAGTCTCAGAAATTTGATACTTGATATGTTGTTTTTTAGCATCCTACATTTAGTGATGCAACAATCACAAGGCATTAGATTTCAATGGTTGAAAACACTTAGAAAGTTCATTATATATATATATATACTGAGTGGCCAGATTATTATGATCTCTGAACACATAATAATCTGGCCACTCAGTGTATATCTTATATAATAAAAGACTAATATGCAAATTGTCCCCTCAACCAGGAGTTCAACCAGCAGGCAGGCTGGCCAACTGCCCATGTTCCCTCCCCCTGGTCAGACCCCACCCATGCATGAATTCATGCGCCATACCCCTAATATATATCTATATCTATATCTATATCTATATCTATATCTATATCTATATCTATATCTATATCTATATCTATATCTATATCCTGAGTGGCCAGATTATTATGTGTTCAGAGATAATAATCTGGCCACTCAGTGTGTGTGTGTGTGTGTGTGTGTATAAAGTTTATTTTATATTGAGCTGAAATCTGGTTCCTAGTCAATTCTACCCACATCTCTTCCCTTTGGTCTTTTTAATTCATGTTAAATATTTATCAGCTCCTCATTTGACATGGATTTCAGTCCTTGAACCATTCTAATCTCTCTCCTCTAAGTATACTGCAATTTCCCAACATCCTTCCTAAGGCATAACATCCAAAACTGATCAGAATGCTATAGATGGGGTGAAGCTATATATATTGAAACACTTCGAGAAGCCATATATTTTTCTTTGATCATTCCCAATTATAAACTACTTCCAGGAGGGAAAACTGGATGGTTGGGGGATAGTGGTGAAAGGGAGACTTACTTTATACCTTTTTGAATTTTGAACTTATTTTAAAAATTAAGCAGAAGGAAAGATGAACTCTCTCCCAGACAAATGTCCAAGTTCGTTCATCAAATTTTAAAAATATTTTTATTGGTTTCAGAGAGGAAGGCAGAGGGAGAGAGAGAGAGAAACATCACTGATGAGATAGAAACATCAACTATTGGCTGGCTGCCTCCTGCACACCCCACAATGGGAACAAGCCCACAACCCAGGCTTGTGCCCTTGACCAGAATCAAACCTGGGACCCTTCAGTCCAAAGGCCGACACTCTAGCCACAGCCAAACTGGCCAGGGCTCATCAAATTATTTTTTGTGAGACAACTGTTATCTATCACTGTGTTAGGTTCTCTGAAGACACCAAAAGAGAAATAAAACACAGTTTTGTCCTTGAGAAATTTACAATTCAGTTAAAAAGAATGCCCATATACTGTGATACAGGTGAGTAAAAAAGTAAAATGGAGGGTGACAGATGCTAAAATGAGGAGGAACATAAGGAAATGGCAATATTTCAAAGGAGACATTTACCTACAGGGGGAAAAGTGCTAGGAGCTTAGCAGGATCTAAGTCTAGCTGAGTATGTAGGCCTAGAAACATTATCAATTTGTCTGCCAAGGCATTCCTAATGGCATAGGAGGACAAAAACACTCTCCTGAAAAGCCCCAAGCCTAATAAGCATAAAACTATTTTTGAAGTTTGTGTTTTATCTTAAAATGTTATTCAAATTTTATATTTTTCTCTTTGATAAAATCATATTTTTAAAATATAAAGTGTTTTAAATTACTGAACTCTCAAATAATATATAGGTTCCAGGAAGATATATAGTATTTCACTCAAGGATATGCATGCCCCAGTTTGAGAAGCATGGGCTAAACAAAAGAGAGTTATTGTACATTCTTAAGCCTTGAAACAACGTGATAAAAACAGTGTGTATGAAAGATTGTGCTTGAAGCTGTATGCCAGGATAATTGGAGGGGATAAAAAGAGGCAGGAGATAGGACAACTCAAAAAGAGACTAGATGACAGTAACTAAGATATGGAAACAGCCCACGTGCCCATCAGCAGATGAGTGGATAAAAACAGCTGTAGTACAGACATCAAGCAATGAACTTGTATGCATATATACATGAGCCATGGACACAGACAATGGAGTGGGGACCTAGCAGGGGGAGGAGGATGGAACTGGGCTGGAAGAGGCTAATGGGAGGAAAAGAGAACCTATGTAATCCTTTCAACAATAAAGATTTTTAAAAAGAAGCTGTAGCATATATATTGATATAAATGGAATATTATGAGGCTTAAAAAAAAAAAGATCTCTTACTCTTTGCAACAGCATGGAGGGACCTGGTGAATATTATGCTAAGCTCTATAAACCAGTCAGAGAAAGATGAGTATCACATGATCTTACTCATATGTGGAATCTAATGAATATAATAAACTGATGAACAAAATAGGTCCAGAGACATAGAAGCATGGAACAGACTGACAGATCTCAGAGCAGGGGGTGGGAAGAAGAGATTAACCAAAGAATACATATGCATATATGCGTAGCCCATGGACACAGACAATAGTGTGGAGAAGGCCTGGGGTGGTTTGGGGTCTGGGTGGAGGGAGGCAAAAATAGGGAAAATTGGGGACATCTGTAATAATGTCAATAAATAAATGAGAGAATAGCCAAAACCGGTTTGGCTCAGTGAATAGAGCATTGACCTGCGGACTGAAAGGTCCTAGGTTCGATTCCGGTCAAGTGCATGTACCTTGGTTGTGGGCACATCCCCAGTAGGGGGTGTGCAGGAGGCAGCTGATCGATGTTTCTCTCATCGATGTTCTAACTCTCTGTTCCTCTCCCTTCCTCTCTGTAAAAAATCAATAAAATAATAAATGAGAGAATAGATTGATGGAGGTGAAGCTGAGGAAAGGGGCACAGTGATGCTCACCTGATCCAGCATTTTTGCCATCTCCTCCAATGAGTGGGACTGTAATGGCTGCAGGGTTCGCATCTGCAGGCAAAGCAGTATACACCATGGGCAGCGGTTGTACCACTACCGGGATGGTCTTCAGGGCACTCATTTTATTTGGCAGACCGACCGAGGGGATGGTGTGAATCACATGGAAGATCTGCTGGCCACCAGTGCCCTGAGAGGAGGCCAGGATAGGGCCTGGAGTCAGAACGGTAGGGATGTTTGCTAAAGTGCCTGCATCAGATGACGAAGTGGACATGACAGGAGTCTGGGGAGCTGGCTGTGGCTTGGGAGGGCGGACTGGCGCTTGCAGCATGCTGGCAGGCTGGAGAGGAGCCTTGGGCTTGTGAAGGGAAAGGTCGACTGGTTCCACCTGGGGCAGGCTGAAATCATTGGCCAGAAGTTCTTCTGGGGGCTCGATCTTGATGTCATTAAACAGTGCTGGGTTCTCCATGGGGTTGGCATCCAGAAATGGTAGAGATGTCATATTACCTCTGCCTGCTGCTGTCTTTGGGGGATCTCTGATTTGAACAGAGCCAGTGACCTGAAATAAATTAATAAACAAATGAGAGATGCAAAACAGTCAGTGCTAGTGCCCTGAAGAAGTGACACGACATGTGAGCAATGAAAGGAATATATCTCCATTCTCTTCTCATGAACAGAATATATAAGGAGTTGAAAGAAATGAGGCGGGAGTACATTAAAGAGGGAAAAGGAATCCTTAGGATGGGTATTAGGCATTGTATCAGGCAATTGATACAAATTGTTTTACAATAATCTTTATAATAATTCTGCAAGATTAATTAGTCAACACTTTCTAACTATTCTATTTAATAAAGAGGGAATATGCTAATTTACCCTCACACCATCTCAAAGATGGCAGCGCCCACAGCCAATAAGGAGGGAATATGCTACTTGACTGCTCCACCTCAAAGATGGCGGTGCCCACAGGCAATGAGGAAATATGCTAATTGACTGCCCCCACCCTCAAAGATGGCAGAACCCACAGCCAATAGGAAGAAATATGCTAATTACTACCATGCCCTCAATGATGGTGACGCCCACAGCCATAAGATGGTGGCACCCAGTCCCCTCAGCCTGGCCTATGGAGTCCCCCAGTCCCCTCAGTCCCCCAGTTGCCCAAGGGCCCACATGAGGCACAGGCAAGCCTTGGATGGCAACTGCCCAGCCGTCCAGGGCCACCAGAGGCTCAGGTAACCAGGGCCAGCCGAGGCTTGCGCTGCTGGCAGTGGCAACAACAGAGGTGTGATGGGGGCATCACCTTCCCCTGATCGCTGGGTCGCCTCCCACCCCTGAGGGCTCCTGGACTGTGCGAAGGGGCAGGCTGGGCTGAGGAACCCCCTCCAGTACATGATTTTTCATGCACCAGGCCTCTAGTCCACTATAAATACTGGGCTAAGTCCAGTGAGGACACACATGAATGAGGTATAACCAAAAGTATTAATATACTATCTATAATGATAGAATGATGTGAGTAGTTTTAAGTCATACCATAGTAATTGATGCAGCAGACATATAAACAAGGTGTTTCAAAAAAAGAAAATGGAGCCCAGCCAGCATGGCTCAGTGGTTGAGCATCGACCTATGAACCAGGAAGTCACAGTTCTATTCCCAGTCAGGGCACATCTAATCCCCAGTGTGGGGGTGTACAGGAGCAACTGATCAATGATTCTGATCATTGATATTCCTCTCTCTCCTCCCTTCCTCTCTAAAATCAATAAAAATATTTTTAAAAGGGCACAAAGAAGCATTCATGTTTCATCTATGTAATTTAGTCAGACTGCCATCTGCTTTCTCCCTCTGCTAGGCTATGGCACGCTTGATTTTTTTCATTTACAATCCCGCATCTCAACTCAGGCCTTGTTCAGAGTCCAAATATTGCTTCAATCTGCTTCTCTAAGACAGGACTCTGTGATTTGTCCCACTGTTTCACATACTTCTAAATTATTCAGTCCCTCATGTGTGGATACACTCCATTCAGGTAACGGAGCTTGTTGGTGGTGAGGAGGAGGGAGGATAGGGAGAGAATGTTGTAAAAAAAAAAAAAATGGCTATTTAAAGTCCTCTGAATCCCGGAATCAACATAAACTCTTATTTTCCCCACATTTCCCATGTGTCTCTTCATCTGGCTGGTCTCCTTCCCAGATTAAAAAGGCAGAATAGTAGGAATCTCTAAGAAAGAACAGGAAGAAGTATTTCTTCTTATAGTCTCTCTATCATGATTATCAATAATTTTGAGAAATAAAGTTACAACAGAAAGCATAAGAAGAGGTTAAGTGTAGTATAATTTTCCACAAGAATATAGACTGTGGGTGTTGAGAACAAGTAATAAACAGAACACATATGAGTGACTGATACAAGTAATTTAGCATTCCAGGAGCTCAAGTGTACTAGAGATTAGTGAGAGTTGGAGTTATCAGTGAAAGTTTTATGAAATAAATGGAATTGGAATTTGGTCCCTAAGGAAAGTGTGGGATTTGGTAAATCAGACAGACTGATTGAAGCACATGCTGGGCAGAAATAATGGCATAGGAAAAGGTATCACTAATGTTTGACCTAAATAGTTAATATTACAGAGATTTTATTAATTTTCTTGGTTGTAATAGTGTTGATGTTGTTAGATAGGAGAATGTCAGTATTTATAGGTGATGCATACTGAATTATCCTTATTTTAATATATATATTTTTATTGATTTCAGAGAGGAAGGGAAAGGGAGAGAAGAAATAGAAACATCAATGAGGAAATATCAATGATAGGCTGCCTTCTGCACGCCCCCTACTGGGGATCAAGCAGCAACGCAGGCATGTACTCTTGACCAGAATCGAACCTGGGACCCTGCAGTCCGCAGGCTGACACTCTATCCATTGAGCCAAACCAGCTAGGGCACATACTGAATTATTTAGGGGTGAAGTTTCTTGATGCAAATTGTATTCAAAGGTAAGAAATGAAGAAAGAGGAGAGAGAGAGAGAGAGAGAGAGAGAGAGAGAGAGAGAGAGAGAGAGAGAGAGAGAGAGAGAGAGAGAAAATGAGAGAGAATGAGCCGAAACCGGTTTGGCTCAATGTATAGAGCGTCGGCTTGGGGACTGAAAGGTCCCGGGTTCGATTCCGGTCAAGGGCATGTACCTTGGTTGCGGGCATATCCCCAGTAGGGGTGTGCAAGAGGCAGCTGATCGATGACTCTCTCTCATCGATGTTTCTAACTCTCTCTTTCTCTTCCTCTCTGTACAAAATCAATAAAATATATTTTTTTAAAAAAGAAAATGAGAGAATGAGAGACAGAATGAAAATGCGAGAATATATGCCAAAATGTTAACAGTAATAAATTGGAGGGGGGAGACATATATACTACAATATGAATTCTAAAGCTGCTCATACATTTGGTCCAAGAAATTGTACTTTCAGGAAATAATCAGAAACTAGAAACAAAGAGCAGGTGGCAACAATCCATTGGTGATATAAGAATGTGAAGAAGCGCCGAAACCGGTTTGGCTCAATGGCTAGAGCGTCGGCTTGGGAACTGAAGGGACCCGGGTTCGATTCCGGTCAAGGGCATGTACCTTGGTTGCGGGCATATCCCCAGTAGGGGGTGTGCAAGAGGCAGCTGAGCGATGACTCTCTCTCATCGATGTTTCTAACTCTCTATCTCTCTCCCTTCCTCTCTGTACAAAATCAATAAAATATATTAAAAAAAAAAAAAAAAAAAGAATGTGAAGAAGGGCCCTGGCCTGTGTGGCTCAGTGGATAGAGCGTTGGCCTGCGGACTGAAGGGTCCCGGGTTCGATTCCGGTCAGGGGCGTGTACCTTGGTTGCTGGCACATCCCCAGTGGGGAGTGTGCGGGAGGCAGCTGATCGACGTTTCTGACTCTATCCCTCTCTCTTCCTCTCTGTAAAAAAATCAATAAAAATATATTTTAAAAGCCGAAACCGGTTTGGCTCAGTGGATAGTGCATTGGTCTGCAGACTGAAAGGTCCCAGGTTTGATTCTGGTCAAGGGCATGTATATTGGTTGGTGGGGGGTGTGCAGGAGGCAGCTGGTCGATGATTCTCTCTCATCGATGTTTCTAACTATCTCCCTTCCTCTCTGTAAAAAATCAATAAAATATATATATTTTTTAAAAAGAATGTGAAGAAGGGGAGCAGCATGTATGTACTGAGCTAGAGCGCCACCCATCAATCCTACCTCATGACGTAAACAAATCATACAATGGACTAAACAGGAGGCTTCTGCCCACTAGGATGTGCCCAGCACAGTCTATTTATAGAATACCAGCTCTGGCCGGGACCGGTTTGGCTCAGTGGATAGGGCGTCGGCCTGCGGACTGAAAGGTCCCGGGTTCGATTCTGGTCAAGGGCATGTACCTTGGTTGCGGGTACATCCCCAGTAGGGGGTGTGCAAGAGGCAGCTGATCGATGATTCTCTCGCATCAATGTTTCTAACTCTCTATCCCTCTCTCTTCCTCTCTGTGAAAAATCAATAAAAATATATTTAAAAATAAAAAAAAGAATACCAGCTCTGGGTCTTTGTCCCCTGGGGCCTGACCAGGGTTCTGTGGCCATGCACCACAAACACCTTTGCTGTACTAAAACCAAGGCATCTTAGAAATGATAAGAAACAAAAAAACAAGTGATTAGATCATCTGCTATCCAGAACTTCTACACATTGACCCAATGTGCTTCAAATTCTAGAATCTTAATATACTTCACACATTGAAAAACATTTTTCAAACTGTACTTAGGTGTACAGAGATTTGAAAATAAGGTAGTTATGCATACTTGACAACGTTTTATTATTTTTTATTACAAGTCCAATAGATTTTTCTCTAACACTGACACTCAGCTTCCTTTTTTTTTTTTTTTCAATCCTCACCCAAGGATATTTTTCCATTGATTTTTTTTTTTTTTTGGTAAAATGATTTAAACATTTTTATTTTTATTTTTATTTTATTTTTATTTTATTTTTTTTTTTTTATATTTTTTTAATTAAATTATTATCTGTTTCCATTGAATTTTAAAGAGGCAGGGAGGTGGGGAGAGAGAGAGGAAAGCATCCATATGAGAGAGACACATCAATTGGCTGCTGGTAAGTTGAAGGATCGAACCTAAAATCTAGATATGATGTATGTGCCTTTGACATGAATCGAACCGAGGCCCTTCAGTCCATCAGGGCTCAGATTACTTTTAATATTAACTATGACTAAGAACCAGCAAACAGCAGATGTTTTGGAACAATTAGCAGTGTTGATGTGCAAATACTCCCTAAATGGCCACAGCTACAAATATCATTAAAACTGTACAAAGGCATCATATGTACATGCAACTCAATTGGACACCAAGGGCAAAACATTTAGTGATTAAAAACATTTTCAGAAAATTTGACTCCTAATATAATATAAGCCAGACACTTTATCTGGTGACTTTTAAAAAAGGGATCTGGCCAAGATGGGATGGCTCAGTGGTTGAACGTGGACCTATGAACCAGGAGGCCATAGTTCAATTCCCAATCAGGAAATCAACTTCCCAATCAGGACACATGCCCAGATTGCGGGCTTGATTCCCAGAGGGGGCCTGCACTGCTGATCAATGATTCTCTCTCATCATTAATGTTTCTATCTCTCTCTCCTTCTCCCTTCTCTGAAATCAACAAAAATATATTTTTAAAAAGTAAAAAAAGATCTGTACTGGATAAATAAAACTACGTACTTAATTTTATTAGCAACTTAGAGATTTTTAAGGGGAACTTTGACTGTATTTTGGTTTCACATATGCAATAACTTTAGAACTTAACCATGAGCAAAATGGGACTTCCACATCTAACATAGAGTGCTTGGCTGTAAAAAAAAAAAAAAAATCTGTTTGGCCCTGGCCAGTGTTGCTCAGTGGTTTGAAGCATGGGCCCGTGGGCCCATACTTGCAAGGGTGGGGAGTTCAATTCCTGGTCAAAGGCATGTACCTGGGTTTCATGTTTAATCTCTGGCTCCAAAGGACCATGTTTGGGAGGCAGTCAATCTATATGTTTTTCTCACATTGATGTTTCTCTCTCTTTGTTTCTCTCTCCCACTCTCTCTCTGAAAAGTAATGGAAAAAATATCCTTGGGTAAGGATCAACAACAACAACAAAAAATATAATCTGCTTTGAATCTTTGCTGTGGGGACGTCCAAGTTGACAATTTTCTTATCTATAAAATTGGAACATTAAGCATACCTATCTGTGATGGTTAATTTTATGTGTTAATTTGGCTAGGCCATAGTGCCAAGATATTTGGTCAAATGTTATTCTGAATGTTTCAGTGTTTTGGTTTGGGATTAATATTTAAAGCCCCAGCCAAAACCGGTTTGGCTCAGTGGATAGAGCGTCAGCCTATGGACTGAAAGGTCTCGGGTTCAATTCCGGTCAAGGGCATGTACCCTGGTTGCGGGCACATCCCCAGTAGGGGGTGTGCAAGAGGCAGCTGATCAATGATTCTCTCTCATCGATGTTTCTATTTATCCCTCTCTATTCCTCTCTGTAAAAAATCAATAAAAATTAAGGGAAAAATAATAGGGATTATATATATATATATTTGAGTAAAGCAGATCACCCTTTATAATGTGGGTTGGCATCATCCAACCACTTGAAGGCCTTAATAGATAGACTGACCTCCTTCAAGCAAGAAAGAATTCTTCCTTGAACTCAAACTTCAACTTTGCCTTGGCTCTCCAGCCTGCCAGCCTACCCATTAGATTTGGATTCACCAAAATTCTACAATAATGAGAGCCAAGTCCTTAAAATATTTCACTCTCTCTATTTAGATAGATGAATGGATAGATAGATAGACACATAGATATATTTATATATAAAACAAAATTATATCTATATCTACATATTTATATTGAGAGAGAGAGAGAGACTGAAACATACACATTCTGTTGTTGTTTTTTTCTCTAGAGAACCGTGACTAATATACTACCCAACAGAATTATTATAAAGATTAAATAAGACAATACATTTCATCTTCAGAGTGCCTGAAATATGGAATAGTGATAGATAAATGATTGCTGTTTTATACCAATCTTGCTCCTATTGCTTTGTTCCCACAGGCTGTTTCTTTACTCCCTATTTGAATGTGAAGACTGGGCATTCAGGTACTTCTTACAAACCTCCCTTCTTCATCCCTTCTTAGTCCTCAATATGTTGTTAGACATGGACAAGAAAAATGATCTTCAGCTCGATAATGATTATGAAGCACTCAACAGTATTATGGCACAATATTAGTATCTCTTTTTCCTGATAACTGACCTGTTTGAATACATGCATTGAGCCACTTTCTGAATTAAGCTGGGCCTTCAAGTTGTTTATGAATTGATCCATATCTGGAAAAGAGACAAGAGAAAGATAATTTTAAAATAGGATCTAACCCACTGTATTCACACACAATACGTCGCTTACTAGTATTCTTGGTTATACCTGTTTGTGTTTTTATTAACATGATTTCTCAAGATTTACTAGGGACAGAGAAGTCAGCATTTGGACAACATTCTAATTTATATGTTATGTTCATCAAGATGGCCCTGGCTTGTCCTCAATAACATGAGCTGCCCACTCCCCTCAAATTCTGTATACATGTATAACTGCTTCTTCCAATCTCTCCAACCCACCCTACATCCATAGGAATATCAGTATAGCTGATGGTCTTAGGCTCTTAGGCTCTACAGCTAGCCAGGGTCGCCAGAGACCATCAGAAAACACGATTCTTAACAGTGGCAAAATTAGTTATGAAGTAACAATGAAAATAATTTTATGGTTGGGGGTCACCACAACATGAGGAACCGTATTAAAGGGTCGTGGCATTGGAAAGGTTGAGAACCATTGATCTAAAGGGATATTTTATCTCTCTACCTCTCTTTAACATACAAGCCAGATAGAGTTAATATGAGCAATCTTTTACTTCCTTGTTAGATAGATTTTCCTCCTATGAGAAAAAGATTCTTGGTGGCCTCACTCAGCTGCCCTGCACCATCACATTCATTTCCACCAGAAGCACATACCAGCTTCTCTTTTACCAGATTTCCTTTGATCTATTTACAGTCTAATCTCACTAAGAGAGGAAAGCATGGGGCAAGGTAGATGAATCCGCAGCTTGCTTATGACTTAATTGGTCAGATTTCAGATTTCTCTAAGTATCTCCAAGTCAATTACAATTAGTTTCCTCATTTATGATCTGGTTGCATTTCAAAAGGTTGTCTATAAATCAGTTAATTGCTTTGGACATCAAATACACTTACCTATCTATGGAAATGTTCATTTACAGGTCACTTCACATTTAAGGCCAAATTCAGTTAATATACAACAAATGCACAATTAGCAGGAATAGAAAATTATAATATGACCGCACACAAAATAAAATATAGTTCTAAACACAATTCCTTTATTTATTAAAAGTCAGGAATGGAGAAAACAAATCCTAATTGAGTGGCAATAATAGACAAAGAATCCTCTATTGGAATTATGAGAAAACTTCTGAGACACTATCAAGAGCTTGGAGAATTTTAAGAATTTAAAATAGCACCAATTTTATCTCAAAGTACATATTATAGATTTTCTTTTCTTTCTTCCAAGTATATGAGTAGAACTGCTCATATATACATCCATCATTCACCAAACCATCTCTGCATAATTACTGTGTAAGAAGTTAGAGTAGGCAAATTGTTATCAGTTTTTGATCTGAGTCAACCAGATATGGAGAATCAGCAAACGCAGCAGAGAGCACTGACCTGGGAGTTCAATGCCTACAAATCACAGCCCGTTATGTTTGTCAAGGCCTTTTTCTTTCTAAGCTTGAACTTCTCCATCTAGAATTTAACATTTTCAAACTGTTCTCTGCAAAGTCCTAAGGCGTCTGAGAAGTCTTTTGGGGGTGGGGGTGGGGTTCATGGAGGAAGATATGTAGTAAAGAATAAGTATAAAAGTCAGATGCAGAAAACTGTGTTTTCCGTTAGATGGTAGGCTCTTTGCAGGCAGAGATTTTCATCTTTGGTGTTTCTTTCAGTGGTGCATTTCAAGGGCTTCAACAGTGCACATGGTAGGTGTTCAATATATTTCCCAAGGTTTTTGATGAGTGACAGAAAAGGAGAACGAGGAAGTGTGTTTTTCTTGAGTACAGGAGTTAGACAAGAATAGAAAAGAATAAAAGAAAATTAGACAGGTTACGTAGGAGAGATGTTTGACATGCAAATAACTATGAAGTATGATGCGCCAGAGACTGTAGTTTATTATGCTTTGAAGGAGGAGTGAAAAAGGAGGGACAACAGTAAAAAAGGAATGTTAGGTCAAGATAACTCGCATATGATCCAGAGGAGGGCACCGTGAAGTCAGGAGCACTTGCTTGGTTGCTGCCAGAAAAATCTGGAGGAGAGTGAAAAGAATTCCATTCTTCTTCTCCATTCACATATTCTTCAATTAGGCCTCATTATTTTTATCTGGGGCAACTTACAAGAACCATCTCCTATCTGGTCTTCCTCAATTCCTATGGATTACGAGATAGTAGGGTTGAGGGAGCAAAGTGACTTTGATAACCTATTTAGCCCTATTGAACCTTGGTTTCTTTACCTGCCAAGGAAAGGGGGTATGGTACTGATTTAATAGGTTTAATGTGAAAATTCCATGAATTAGTAAATGCAAATGTACTTTTTTGCATAGGAAAAGTTCTCCCCGAAACCGGTTTGGCTCAGTGGATAGAGCGTCAGCCTGTGGACTGAAAGGTCCCAGGTTCGATTCGGGTCAAGGGCATGTATAATACCTTGGTTGCGGGCACATCCCCAGTAGGGGGTGTGCAAGAGACAGCTGATTGACGTTTCTCTCTCATCGATTTTTCTAACTATCACCCTCTTTTCCTATTTGTAAAATATCAATAAAATATATTTTTTTAAAAGAAAAGTTCTCAATATAAGTAGTTATTAATAAAGTCACCACCATTATTATTGTTGATGGCCATGTTTAGCTCTGGCCCAGAGGGGTATCTCCTGGGCATCAAATAGTTCTTTCATAAACTCAGTGTGCTCACAAACCTTCTCTTCCGCTTATATTTATAATCTCAATTTATAGCACCACCATCAGCCCAGTCTCAATCTAAAAACCTGAGGGCCAGTTACTTTTGACTCCTCTCTCTCCATCTCCAACCAATTGGTTATCAGCTGCAATAAATTCTACTGAAGAAATATCTCTTAAACCTAGCTGTTCATCTTTTCCCAGTCACTTCCCCTTTTAGTCCATTCTCGCACATTGCAACCCAAGTGTGGTAAAAACATGTGGGATCTGGACTGAGTGCCTAGGGTCACATCCTGTCTCTACAACTTCTTAACGATAAGACTCTGGGTAAATGTTTCTACACCTCTGTGTCTGTTTTCCCATTTGCAAATGAGAACAATAATACCAGCTCATAGGGTTGTTGAATTTATCAAGTTAATATGTGTTCAAGTATTTTCAGTATCCTGTACAAAGAGGCACCATCAGGTGAGCTCCTCAGTAGATACCTAGTCTTGTTCCTCTCTGTGTCCCAGTTGTTGTTTTTTTTAGCATAGTATCTTCTCCATGTAGCGTGCTAATGTCCAATGAATGAATGATCATAGGAATAAGGAAGGTTATTTAATAACAGCAATCTTGTATCCATGCATATTAGCATAACCAATGGGTAGACACTGGGGCAGTGGGGGCTTGCCCAGGATGGGAATGGCTGGGGAGGGGAGGGGTCAATTGAAGGAAAAGGAGACATATGTAAAACTTCAGACAAAAAATAAAATAAGATAAAAACAATCTATATATATATATAAAAGCCAAAGCGACTATCCGACTGTCCAACTGGTGACTATGATGCACAATATCCACCAGGAGACAGACACTCTGATTGGTAGCTATGCCATGCACTGACCACCAGAGGGCCGACACTAGACACAGAAGCTGCCAAGCAACAGCAAATTTGCAGAGTGCCCTCTTACACACTGGGACCCCTTGGGGAATGTTGGACTGCCAGCTTTGGCCCAATCCCCACAGGCCAGGTTGAGGGACCCCCACCTGCCAGAGGATCTCCACTCATTCTACAGAAGCCCTTCAAGCCCTAGCGCCTCCCCAGGTGCAGCCAACCAGGGGAGGGACCGAGGGAAGTTGTCTCCAGGGTGGGTCCAGCCCATCCTACCCAGTGTCACCCCACCAGCCACCTTCTAATGAATTTACTTTCAAGTGCATGAATCAATGCACTGGCCTCTAGTATACTATAATAATCAATAATATTAATATTTAAAATAGCAATAATCAAGGAGTCTGAAAAATACTTCTTGTCCAAACTGCATTAAAAGTATATTGTCCTCGCTGGTTTGACTCAGTGGATAGAGTATCGGCCAGTGGACTGAAAGGTTCTGGGTTTAATTCAGTCAAGGGCATATGCCTGGGTGGCTCAATCCCCAGTAGAGGGAGTGCAGGAGGCAGCCAGTTAATGATTCTCTCTCATCACTGATGTATCTATCTCTTTTTCCCTCTCTTTCCCTCTGAAACAAATTAAAAAAAAAGGAATATTAGTCAGCCCAGCTGGTATGTTCAGTGGTTGGGTGTTGACCTGTGAACAAGAGGTTCGATTTCTGGTCAGGGCACATGCTCAGGTTGCAGGCTCAATCCCCAGTGTCGGGTGTTCAGGATGTAGCCAATCAATGATTCTCTCTCATTGATGTTTCTCTCTCTTCCTCCCTCCCCCTTTCTCTCTGAAATCAATAAAAAAAATTTAAGTATATTATCAAATGGCATAAGCTGACGATCAGAAATGTCTCAGCCATTTTTGCTAACTGCACTTTCACCCAAAAGATAGTCAATTGGAGTTGCCATTAGATAACCATGGACTACACTCTTAAGTGTTGTTAGGAATGAATATAGAGATAGCTATCAGAAATGTGTATAACCGTCTCTTTAAAAATTTTTTATTTAATATTTAGCCAGCTAAAATTTTAAAAAGTGGGGCCAACAAAATGGTTTTAAAGAAAGCTCAGGGTTGTTTTTTTTTAAGGAATTTAAATGCCTTTTACTTTTCTCTAAAGTTGGAGCTGCTGTTCTTAAGTGTCTAGAACCAGACAGCTGCACAGAATCTGGGAGGAAAGTGGTAAGGAAATACCCAAAGGGGGTTAAGGTATTTGTGTTGAGCCATGGAGATGTGAATCTCACAGGCAGGAGAGCTTCAGAAATGTAAATAACCTATTTGAGATAATAACCATTATTCTGCCTGGAATGGCTCTTCAAGCCTTTGTGTCTGGAAGCTGGACTTTCTGGTCCTTCTCCTAATGTAGGGAGTACTGGAAGAGGAAATAAAGGAGGAGATAAAAAGGAAGATTGA